CTTTGTGTTTTAATTGACATGTAGAGTCTATTACACTTAAGGCAATTTTTGATATACACCTTCTCCTCACTTACTATCTCGTTAGCTGACATTTTGTATTTATGACAATAGTAAAAAATCTACTATCCGACTGTTTTGCACATTAACGATGTACATCTGGCAGTAACAAACACTGAAGTTTGAGGTGAGAGTAACACTGGCTTTAATGGTTAAGGTTATGTGTCAGCTTGGCTAGATCATGATTCTCAGTGGTTTGGCAGTTATGTAATGATATAATTTGGCAGTTATGTAATGATGTAGTCATCCTCCATTTTGTGATCTGATGTGGTCATCCTCCATTTTCACATAACACTGATTTCGCATAATGATGTGGTTTTTGGAACCTCACCATGTTGATAAGTGAGGAGAGGGTATATTTGATTTATTTCTAACATCTCGTTATTAGTTTTCTACCTGACTCACCCGTTTTTTCTTCCCTTTTCTTTTGGTTCAATATAGTATTTTTCCTGTTTAATGCTTTTATTTTTTGTTGTTGTTGAGAATATACACAGCAGAACATACACCAATTCAACAATTCCTACGTGTACAATTTTGTGACACTGATTACGTTCTTCAAATTATGGAACCATTCTCACCCTCCTTTTCCAAATTGTTCCTATCCCATTAACATAAACTTAACTGCCCCCTAAGTTTCCTATTTAATCTTTCTAGTGGCTGTTGTCAGTTTGAACTCATAGATAGTTGTTAAAAGGAAGAAATGGAATATGTGGCCAATTACCTCTCTGAACAGCTGCCTCCTTTGCTATGAGACAAGAAAAACTGGATGGGCTTGGATACCATTACTGAACAGTTTAATCAAAGATTCTATATAAGAATCCTGATCAACAGGGAGAAAATGTAGAACAGGATTTCAAATTCTTATGGACTCCAGATTTTCTGGAGCCATGAAGGCTAGATGAACCCCTGAAACTATTGCCCTGCAATAATCTTTAAACCTTAAACCAAAAATATCCCCTGAAGTCTTTTTAAAATCAGTAAAGTACTTCTTAAATTTTATTCATCCCTCTCCATTAGCCTGTTACTTATACATTCTTTTACTATTCTTTAGTGATTAACTTAGAGAATACAATGTGATTCTTGACATATTACAATTTAATATAAATCAGCACTTTCACCACTTCCCAGAAAATACTAGGACCTTTGATCACTTTAATTCTATTTACTGCCCTCTCCCTATGCCTTTTGTAGTATTATTGTCATGCATTTTAATTATACATAAATCTTAGCCCTCACAAGACTTTATTATTGTTATTATTTTTAATTGTTAACTACATGTTACATAAATTTACCAATTATGTTATGTGGTAAACTACACATAACATAAAATTGTCGTAACCAGTTTATACAGTTCATTGGCATTAAGTACATCACCATGTTGTGCAACCACCACCACTATCTAGTGTTACAACTTTTCATCACCCCAAACAGAAACCCTCTACCCATTAAGCAGCTATTTTAGCTGGCTACAGAATTCTAGGTTGGATGTTATTTTCTTTTAGCCTTTAAAGATGACATTCCAGTGTATTCTGGCTCTCATCGATCTGTTGGGAAGCCAACTGTCAGTCTTGTGTTTGCTTTTTTGAAAGTAGTGTGCCCCCTTTTCCCCTATTGCCCTCCTATCTGCTTTTAGAAATTTATCTTTGGTTTTCAACAGTTTAACTACAATGGGTCTAGATAAGGTTTTCTTTGCATTTATCTTGAGGGAGTTCATAGAACTTCTTGAATCTGTGGATTCGTATCTTTAATTAGTTTTGGAAACTTCTCGGCCATTATGTGTTCAAACAGTGTTCCTACCACATATTCTCTCATTCCCCACCTCTGTGGTTCAAGTTACATGTGTTTTAGACTTTTTAATTGGTTGCTGTGTATTTCCTACTGTTTTTGGTCTGCATTTTGCAATTATTTCATTATTGAAGGAGCCCCGGTGGCGCATTGGTTAAGCACTTGGCTACTAATTGAAAGATTGGCTGTTTGAACCCGCTAGCTGCTCTGAGGGAGAAAGATGTGGTAGTCTGCTTCCATAAAGATCATAGCCTTGGAAACCCTGTGGGCCAGTTCTACTGTGTCCTATAGGGTCTCTATGAGTTGGAACCGACTTGACAGCAACAGGTTTGGTTTTTATCTGGGACAGGAGTTGGTAAACTTTCTTTGTAAGGGTCCAGATAGTAAACATTTTAGGCTTTGTGGGTCATAAGGTGTCTGTGGCAACTACTTAACTCTGCTATTGTCATTTGAAGCAGCCATAGGTAATACGTAAGCCATCAGCCTTGGCTGTTTCAGTACAACTTTGTTTTCAAAAACAGGCTGGGCCATAGTCAACTCCCAATCTAGTGGAAAAGACAGGAATAGAGACAAAAGTTGCCTACTTGTAACACTTTACTTTTTTTTACGTATTTTATTTATTTTTTATTTTATTGTTGTACTTTAAGTGAAAATATACAATTCAAGTTAGTCTCTCATACAAAAATTTATACATACATTGTTATGTGACCCTAGTTTCTCTCCCTATACTGTGACAGCACACTCCTTCCACCCCAGATTTCCCGTGTCCATTCAACCAGCTCCTGCCTTCTCATCTCACCTCTGGACAGGAGCTGCCCATTTAGTCTCATGTATCTACTTGAGTTAAGAAGCACACTCTTCATGTGTATCATTTTATGTCCCATAGTCCAGTCTAATCCTTGAAGAGTTGGCTTCGGGAATGGTTTTAGTTCTGGGTTGACAGAGAGTGTGGGGGCCATGCTTTCTGGGGTTCCTCCAGTCTCAGACCATTATGTCTGGTCTTTTTACTAGAATTTGAGTTCTGTACCCTACTTTTCTCCTGCTCCATCACTGACTCTCTGTTGTGTTCCCTGTCAGGGCGATGATTGGTGGTAGCTGGGCACCGTCTAGTTCTTCTGGTCTCAGGCTGATGCAGTCTCTGGTTTATGTGGCCCTTTCTGTCTGTTGGGCTAATGTTTTCCTTGTGTCTTTGGTGTTCTTCATTCTCCTTTACTGCAGGTGGATTGGGACCAATTGATGTATCTTAGATGGCTGCTTACTAGCTTTTAAGACTCCAGACACCACTCACCAAAGTGGGATGCAGAACGTTTTCTTAATAAACTTTGTTATGCCAATTGACCTAGGTGTCCCCTGAAAGCATGGTCCCCAGATCCCCACCCCTGATACTTTGTCCCTCAAAGTGTTTGGTTGTATTCAGGAAACTTCTTAGCTTTGGTTTAGTCCAGTTGTGCTGACTTCCCCTGTAGTGTGTGCTGTCCTTCCCTTCACCTAAGATAATTCTTGTCTACTGTCTGGTTAGTGAATAACCCTCACCCTCCCTCCCCACCCTCGTAACCATCAAAGAATGTTTTCTTCTGATAACACTTTACTTTTAAGTAAACTTTATGTTGATATATAACATACAGAGAAAAAACACAAATCTCAAGTGTTCAGCTCAATGAATTTTCAGAGACTCACTTATGTAACCAACACCAAGGTCAAGAAATAGAATATTAACAGCACCCTAGAAATTCCCATTATGCTACATCCCAATCAATACTCTCGCAAGACTAACCAGTGTCCTGATTTCTAACATCATAGATTTGTTTTGACTATGTTAAACTTTATGAAATGAAATCATAGACAATGTTTCCTGTATCTGGTGTTTTTGGTCAATAGGTTTGTGAGATTGATCCATGTTTTGTATGTAACTCATTCTCATTATTTTTTAAATAGTATTCCATTATATGAATGACTCTAATTTTTTATCCATTCTACTGTGGAAGGGCATTTGGATTGTTTTTAGTTTCTGGCTATTATAAATAGTGCTGCATGTACATTGTACACATTTATGTTGGGCACATACTTAGGAGTGGAATTGCATTATAAGGTATGCAGGTGTTGAGGTTTGGTTGATACTGCCAAACAGCTCTCTAGAGCAGTAGTAGCTATTTTCACTCTTTCTAGCAGTGTACGAGATTTCCAGTTGCTCTGTATCCTAATCAAAGTTAGTATTGTCTGCCTTTTTAATTTTAGCCATTCTGATGGGTGTGCACTTAACTTCTAAAAAAAATTATTTTTTCTTGTGTTTTTGTTTCACATCACTATATTCATTACTATATTCACATTACTACTTTCATTACTATATTCAACCTTTTGGTTAAAACATTTCTTACTGATTTCTTCAATTTTTCAACAGATATTTTATTTGTACCTTCCAAAATATTTCTTACCATACAGACTTTTCCAAAGGGAGTAACAATATAACCCATGTGGTCTTAACAATCATTTTGTTTGGGCCCAGAGAGTCATAAAACATTTTCGCTGTTAGTTTAGTGCAGAGATTTGGAAAGTGTAGTCTTTAAACAAAATTACTCTATAGCTAAAAATAAGTGGAATAAAAAATTGTATGCTTTTTCTTGGGTAGACTCATTTTGTTTGTGAATGAAGTCACAGTTTTCTGAACTACATTAGTATTTCCTGAAAGTGGAATTTGTCTTTCTCAAGGATCTGCCAGAAATGTTTGTGAAGCTGTTGCCTCCTCTCTCCTCCGTTGTCTCTGCCCTGTCTCCTGCAAAGTTCCCACCCAACTTCTTAGCCTTCGGGACTTCACCATCCCTGATTTAACATTGACGCCATTGTAAATGAGGAAGACTGTTGGGAAATCGGAACTGCAGGCTGTTTTCTCAACCTGAAAACCTGTTGCTGTCAGTTGATTCTGACTCATTACAACCCTATAGGACAGAGTAGATCTGCCTCATAGGGTTTCCAAGGTTGCAGTTTTTATGGGAGCAGATTGCCAAGTCTTCCTCTTGTGGAGCAGCTGGTAGGTTCAAACCACCGACCTTTCAGTTAGCAGCTGAGTGCTTAACTACTGCACCATCAGAGCTCCTTGTTTTCTCAAAACGGGCTTAAAGATCTATAGAACATTGTGACTGCCTTTGTCTGCCACTTGCAAGCTTGAGAAGTAGAAGGCCTTGAGCTCCTTGGGACTTTACATTAAGCCCACCCTGCTCCCAAATCTCTAAAGTTCAGTATTTTTTGGATCAAATTTGATACAAAGAGTTATATGTGATATATTTCTAGTCTTTATAGTTAATGTGTGTAATACATTTATGCTCAGATTATAAGACTTGGAGTACATTTACTTAAAGAGTCGTGGAGATGTATGGCATCTTTTATGACATTCTTGATAATTTTAGTGATTTATTATTCTGCAATACATTATTTTTCATATTTATACCTACTTAAAATTATTTTAAGTTTATAGCAGCTTACCTGGATGGGCTTATAGAAACACATTGCGATCTCTTGTCTTCCTAAACTCTAACTACATGAGAAAACAAGTTTTTTTCTTTTTGACTTAATCTGCTTTGCAGCAGTTTTCAGAGACAGATTGAATTAGTGAATTTGCATTTAAATGCCTTTATTTTTCTACTAGAGGTTTGTTTCTTGAGTTAAGAAACATTGTGCATTATTGGTGAACTCTCTAAATGACTTAGAGGTGAAATGTCTCAGTGATTTGTAGTGATTTTGAAATAGTTTTAAGTAGGTACGGAAGGCTTAAGAAGCATCCTTAGGCTTTTGTGTGTGTGGACCGAGTCTCGGGAGCTTAGTTTCAGGTTTCTAACAATCCTTCTGACAAACACTTAGAATTCTTTTTGCTGGAGTCTCAGTCATCTATCTCGACAGTTCTCATTTCTAATTTAGAAACGAGTCCATTTTTACCAATTTAAGATAGCCTTAATTTCACCTAAAATCTCTCATAAATCTCTGATATAATTTAGTTTTTAAACAATAACCAAACAATTTAGTTATTTTTATGTGACGAGAATAACAATGGGTACTTATTGTCTATACTTACGCAATTTTATAGATGGAGTTTTAACATTGAATGCGGAGAACACTAATTATGCCTACCAAGTTCCAAACTTCCATAAATGTGAAATCTGTCTGCTGTCTTTCCCAAAAGAGTCCCAGTTTCAACGCCACATGAGGGATCACGAGCGGAATGACAAGGTATGTATTTTCAAGGGGGACATTGGAAATGTGAGCATTGGAACTGGACATATTGTGAAAACTCACATATCAAATTGAATTTTTTCTTATAATTTGGATTCCTTACTTGTAGAATATATCCTATAAACCAATAAATATTTTGACTATTTTTAGTTATAGTTATGTTCCCAGCTATCATTAGATAATGAGAGAATAGGAGAGCTTGCATAGTGTGTCTGTGTATTGAAGTTATTTATGAATGGACAAAGGTATATTTTAAAAAGATGACTTTTTTTCTTACATGACTCAGCACAGAATTGATATTACCTTGTAGTGTTTTTCTCCCCCAGGAAGTTTTACTTTTAATGGTCTTGCATTTTAAAAGGATATTCTGGATGGTTTAGATTATACTTCATTAGGGGAGCAACACTATCTTAAATAGAATCCCTTGTGGGGTGTGCCAAGAATTTTAGCATCTTAATGGAATGATTTATTTGATAGATGGAAAGTGGCAGTTACAACTACCCTCAAAATAGTGACCACTGACTTTTTTAGGTAGGAGAATTTAAGCCAGGGAACTGTTTGAGACCAGAAAATTCATGGCTCTCCTCCCTGGAGAACAGGATGTAACCAGTTCAGGCCTCATTTTCAGCCTCAGTTGTAATGTTATAACTGTAACAATATAATACTGATTTCACTGCTCACTGGTATTATCCTCCCATGTTGAAAATCTGTAAATACCGACATATTCCTCATTAGGGTGTTGATACTACCTCAGAGAGAAATACCAGGGATTACTTTAGGTTTCTACAAGTAGGTGGTGGGATACTGTCCATTTTGGAAAATTTTAGACTGAGATATGCAACTTTGTTAAAATTCTGGTAAAAATTTGATGTACGATTACTTGGTTTTGGTCAGAAACAGAAGCTAATGGGTTGAAGTTCTTCACATGTATTTCCATAAAGACTACAACCTGATACACTTGTATGCAGCATTTTTCATTAGAGATATTTTCTACCTGTAGGTGTTGTCCTTTCGGAAGGGTTTATTGATTTCAGACTTAGAAGAGACTTCAGAGGTTCCTCAGAAAGATTGTATGTTATGGTACTTGTTAATGTTTTAATAACATTATAAAAGAAAGCATCTGTTCAGTGGCTTCTTTACTTTTCTCTCCCAATAGCCACATCGATGTGACCAGTGCCCCCAAACATTTAATGTTGAATTCAACCTGACACTTCATAAATGCACCCACAACGGGGAAGACCCTACCTGTCCTGTCTGTAACAAGAAATTCTCCAGAGTGGCTAGCCTCAAAGCCCATATTATGCTGCATGAGAAGGAAGAGGTAATAATTTTGGCATATACTTTGTTAACTGATTTTTCATATGCATCTCACCCTAAATCAGGAGGATTTTAGCTATGACTAGTTTAAAAAGTTTTTCATATAGGTTTCAAGGAATTAATTATCATTAAATTTGCCTTGGCCAATCTCTAGTTTACTGATGAAGAATTTTGTTTTCTGGCTATAACAATACCTTAGAGCAGAGAGACCTTAATGTGTAGTGTATTTGAAGGATCACAATGCACCTATGCTGGCTGGCAGAGTCCACCCTCTCCCCCACTTTTTTTTTTTTTTTTTCTTAACAGAAATTAACTTCTATGGGATTCTGCAGAAGCCAAAAGTAATCCTTCAGCCTTTGAAGGTTGTAGAATCTTCTCACATGGCTCCTGGATCCCCTGACACGTGGGTAGCCGGAGAAGGGAAGAAATTCATAGATGGTCCAAAATAGCCTGTATACTAATGTGAATAGTCTCATATGGTTCCCAGTCATGTAGAGCCTTGAGACAGCTTTAAGGAAGAAGGGTAACATAGCTGTTAAATAAAAGAAGAGGCCTCTTGTTGTTGGGGGTCCTAATGTAGATTATAAATCGCTGTTACTTAAAAGGAGTCCCTGGGTGGTGTAAACAATTAAGTGCTCAGCTACTAACCAAATATTTGGTGGTTTGAGCCCATGCAGAGGATCCTCAGAAGAAAGGCCTGGTGATCTACTTTCAAAAAAATCAGCCATTGAAAACTCTATGGAGTGCAGTTCTACTCTGACACACATGGGGTCACCATGAGTCGGAGTCAACTCGATGGCAACTAGTCTTTGGTTTTGATTGTTTAAAAAATATACTCCTGCTCCCCTATCCCCAATTATTATTGTAGGAAAATACAAAAAGTAAAAAGGAGAAAATAAAAATCACCTGCAATTCTACCATCCAGAGATAATTACTGATAGCTATCAGGTATATTTTCTTCCTAAGATAGAAAACAATATAGTATTTAAACTGCATATATAAAGTTTGTATCTTAAAAACTGAGTTCATACTTTATAGTTTTGAATCCTCTTTAGATATGCCTTTCATTTTTATTAGAAGATAATTTTTATTTTTATCTTTTTAATCTTATTACATAAGTAATGCATACTTATTTTAGAAAATGTGAGAAACAAACACCAACCAAAAAAAAACAGACTTACTGGACTGATTGAGTCTGGAAGACTCCCAAGACTATTGCCCTGAGATACTCTTTAAACCTTGAACCGAAACTAACACTTGAGGTTACTTTGTAGCTGAATAACAGATTGGCTAACAAAATAACGAATATCACCCATCACTACTGTGCTCCTTCAGAAAAATCAGCTATATGAGACCAAACATCAACAATTGCTTTAAGACAAAAATGAGAATGTAAGGGGGCAGGGAGACTAGATTAATGGAAACAGAACAACCAGAAGGAAATAATGAGAATGTTCATGCATTGTGAAGAATGTAACCAATATCACTGAACAACTTGTGTAGAAATTGTTGAATGGGAACCTAAACTTCCGTGTAAACCTTCACCAAAAACACAATAACAATGTTATTTTTTTTTAAAGAAAAAACAACAGTTATTTTAAAAACAAAAATAGGACTATGCTCCTGCAGAGATGGCGTGTAATCTGCCTTTTCCCCTTAAGATATTGTAAATGTTTCCTTTCCCTTTTTTCCTACTATAGTGTAATCTTTTCCCATATCAGTGTTTGAAATACTTTATTAAAGTCTTTAGCATCTGGACATAGCATAATGATATTTGATCATCTCCTTTATTGTTTAACATTTAAGTTTATACTTTTTCTGTATTATAAGTAATACAACTTTGTATATAATTCTTTGTATGCACCTTTGATTATTTCTTTAGGATCAATTACTGCACTAGAATGACTTTTTTCCAAGTTCTCGATAGAATGTCACACTGCTTTGTAGAAAGCGTGTGCTGCTTTATACCTTCCGTGAAGCGCATGAATGCCTGTCTCGCTCAACAACATTAGTAATCAGAAATGGCCAATTTTATTTAAAAAACCAGAAAATGTTGGTATTAAATCATGGCCTATTAAACTGTTTTGGAATAAGTAACCCCTGTACTATGAGTCGGAATTGACTTGACAGCAGTAGGTTAATGCAAGTACACAGTAAACAGTCAAACCACACAGAAAGGTACATAGAACTCAGCTGCTAACCTAAAAGGTCAGCAGGTTGAATCTACCAGCTGCTTCTTGGAAACCCTATAGGGCGGTTCTACTCTGGCTTATAGGGTTGCTATGAGTTGAAATCGACTTGATGGCAATGTTTTTTTTTTTTTCTGTTTGGAGACATTTTTGCTTGTGGCTTTCAGTGGAGGAGGAGGGTGCTCCTGGTACCTGGGTGGGGACACTGTTAACATCTTGCAATGACAGAACAGCCTCCACAAGAAAGAGTGATCCAGCCCAAAATGTCAGTAGTGTTGACATTGAGAAACCCTGGGCTAATATAAATTCAGATAAATTCCTAGAAATGAAACTGCTGGGCCAAAGAATATGTGAATTTAGAGTTTTGATAGATGTTGTCAAATAGTTCTCCAAAGAAGTTTTGCCAGTTTATACTCTTGACAGTAGTGTATGAAAATGACCTTTTCTTCATACCATTTTAAAATACTATATCTTAAAAGACTTGTTTTTTCCAATGTGGTAGTTTAAAAATGGTATGTTATTGTTTTAATTTGCATTTCTTTAATTATTAGCATTTTTTTGTGTCTATTGGACATTAATTATTTCCCCCCCTGTTGATTTTTATCTTCTTTTTTAGGGGATGGGTGGGTGGGTTGGATTTATTGTTATAGATTTGTTTCATCTATTTACATACTTAGGAAGTTAGTTTTTTCTGTCCTGTGTGACAGAACTGTTTCTCAGTTTCTGATTTTTTCTTTTCTGGCAGAAATTCTTAAATTGTTAGACACTCAAATTTTCAAAGTATTTATTTATCAATTTGGTTTTTGTGACTCACTTAGAAATGCTTCCCAATTTTTAAAGTATTATCTAAAAAAATCCCACGATGTCTTCTAGTGCAGATACATTTACAGTGCAGTAAATTCACTTACTTTAGAACTCACAGGTTCACACCTCCAATTCCAGTGCATCCTCACAGGGCTCTTTCTTGCCTTCCCCGGTACCCATTTCTGTGTTCCTTCTTCCGTGGGAGAGCCCTAGCTCCCAACTGCGTCAGCACATTCATGCATTTGCTCAGGCTAGAACTCCCTCTAAAATAGCTTCAGACCTGGTCAGCCCACGCCTTTCTCACAGACCTACTGAAAGACATTCAGAATTTGTTTGCATTTCTTGCCCCAACACCCCCACCTGCCCCAGACTCATGGCTTGGGACTATGGCCACCTGGCCTCCTTTTCCTCTCTGAGAGGGGAACAGTGCTCTGTTTTCATGGAAAATGGGTGGCTTGAGACTGGACCACAGGCGCGGGCCTGACCAGCGTCTCACGCATGGATTGTCTGGTGGCGCTGAGGTGGGGTGTACACTGTTGGGTTGGGGTGGGAGCGTGTGGTTTCCTTTACAGCTCACTCACCAGCCTTGGTGGGAGCAGAGATGGCAGCTGGCTTAGAGACTGGGGCTTGGGAATCACGGAAGGGAGTTGTTGAAATGATAGATCATGTGGCCTGGGCTGGATAGGGGAAGAAGGGACACTGGGGGCGGGGGAGGTGTTGGTCCTCTATAGGAGAAGATGGATGGGGGCAGGGTGCTGATTCCAGCTCTGCTTCCTCTAGGCATTCTGGGGGCCCTTCCCTCAGGGTGACAGTAGAGGTCAGCTGGGGCTGTCTAACCCCAAATCTGTCTACATAGGACTCCAAAGCAGTGAGCTTTTACTGTTTTCCATTCTGATGTTTCTTCCAGTAATAATACCAACGAGTAGAACTATATGACTTTTTAAAACTCACTTTGACTTCCTCCATAACCGGAAAGAGAAACAGCAGTCACTTATCATTTCCAGAAGCTCTGGAGCGTTTATGCGTTATTTTCCATTCTTCTCTTCATTGTCTTTTCTTTTCCATAAACTTGGTTCAAATTCCTGTCCAGATTGTTCCCCAGAGTGGAGCTAACGGGTCTTTCCACCTCTAATTATTGTCTGCATCATTTCTGACATCATTCTTTTTGTTGTTCTTCGTCTTGTTATAATGTGATCTCTTGAAGTAGGGCCCATCAATGTGAAGGCAGCGAGCTTGGAGCGTGCGCGGCCTCCTCTCATTTCAACCTGTGCTTCCATTGATAAAGCTCCAGCTATTTTCTTCTCTCTTGCAGTTGTGCTTGCAAGAATGTAAACATTCTGTAGTTCCTGACTCATTTTTTTCCCCAAAAGGCCTTTGTGAAATGTGGGTTTCCTGAAATCTGTTGACTTCAAATTTCTCTTACTGCTAACTAACCTTTCTTCCAGTTTCTTCTCTTCGTACATAATTGGTGCTCTCTCTGATCAATAAATGATAACAGAGAAGAAAGGAGTGGAATAGCCAGAAAAGTGGTGTTTGCCTAACTTTGAAGTCCTGGTTTGAAGTAGTTAATGGAAGGGACAGGAGCCCCGGTGGCACAGTGGTTAAGCGCTCAGCTGCTAACCGAAAGGTCGGCAGTTTGAACCCACCAGCCTCTCAGGGGGAGAAAAGACCTGGTGATCTGCTCCCATAAAGATTACAGCCTTGGAAACCCTATGGGCAGTTCTACTCTGTCACATGGGGTTACTATGAGTCAGAATCGACTCGACAGCACCCAGCAACAGTAACAGTGGCAGATGTGGGAACGCTTTGTCGTCTTGCCTTAGGACCAAGTGTTACCATGGAGCAGGATTTTGGACACTGGAGCTCGATTCAGTAACCTGACCTACATGAACAGAGGGGAGAGGCTTTGTTGTGCTTATTCCAGAACCAAATGTGAAATGTGCATTGTCAGTCTGTACACACAGGTGCTCTGTTTCAGTTTTTACATGGTTGTTTTAGTTAGTATGTAGGTTCAGAGCTTGTAGTCTCCCATCTAGCAGCCTGGAGTTCCCTAGGACAGAGCCAGAAGGGCAGCCCTGAGCTTGTCCAGGGACCCACTCTAATTGCTCTTCTGTCTCCTGAGTGTTGCTTCTGCCACATGGTTTATGATGCATTCTCTGTTTTAGCCACAAAAAGGGCAAGAAGGGGGAGGGAGAAGGGTGCACCCCTCCTCCTCAAAGGCATGATCTGGAAGTTGACTATCAGTTCTGCTCATGGCTCGCTGGGTGGAGCGTAGTCACTGTGCGTGGTATCTAGCATTCAGGAAGGTTAGGGAACGCTGTATTTAATCAAGTAGCCACATCCTCTGCTAAGAAGACTGCTTCTGTTTAAGAAGGGAAGAATGGATATTGGAGAATAATTTTCTTTTCCACATACATTCAAAGAATGTACTTTTGGCTGCCTTTGTTTATTTTGTATGCTTTTATTTCTCAGTTAATTGATTTGACTATAATGTATTGCTAGTAACTTCTGGAATAATTCCTAACCTTTAGTCACATTCAAAAATAACCTGTAAGGTTCTGCCAAGATGGAGTAGCCCCAGTCCTCCCAGGTCTCCGTGTTACAACTAAACAACCCTGGACACAACACAGCACCAGATCTGGGAAAACTGAGAGGTAGAAAGAAGGCGGACAGCTGAGGAGCTGCAGCACTTGAGGACAGGTGGCAGTGGATCCCCTGGATTTCCTTCTCCCCCATACATCCTGGACAGGGTGCTGGACAAGCCTGGAGCCTTTGCCTATTCGCCTTAGTCAAACCTGGGAAAAGGGTGGTCTAAAGAACAGAAAAAAGTTTTGGCAGTACTCACTCTGCTTTGCCAGACACCTCTGAGCCCTCCACCCCTGCAGTTCTAGCAGGCTGAGCAGCAAGCTAAGCCTAGAAAGCAACTTGGTTTGGTAGGAAGCGCAAACGCTTTGCAGTCCACGGAGCTGCCGTAACTCCCAAGGTGAGCTTGAGGATGAGCTGAGATAAAAGTAGGTGGGGCACCTTACGTTGTGTTGGGTAGAGAAAATATTGAGGCTCTCATGTAGTACCCCCAAAACCTTAGAAATAGAAGATTGCCTTCTAGCGGTTAAACTCTGAAATCCTCACACAATGGATTGTAGCGGTAAAGAGTTGTATGTAAAATATACCTCAATAAAACTGATTTAAAAATAGCCATAAAAATCCATAATGATCACTGCTGTCAAGATGAATATGAAACAAGAGGAATAAATTAGAAAAATTACTGTAGTTTTAAAATCACTTAGGAATATTTCCTTAAAATTGAGGTAATTATTGAAAGTTCATGTAATTTGTTGAGTAAATCACCACCTTTAAGGAGTGTTGCAGGGTATTTGGAGGAACAACACACGTACACGCACATGCACACGTGCACACATGGACACACACACTTGCACACGTAGATATATGCTCACACGGAAGTACATGCACACAAACACATGCACACACATACACTTGCACACACATGCCCACACACTTAACTTGCTGAAGCTGCCGTCTCACAGGCCTGCAGATGCACAGTGATACAGACCAGGCTCCCTCAGGGCTGAGGCCGAGCGGTGCGCTGCGAGGTGGATTCTAGGTCATGTGCATGGAGCATCGATTTGAGGCCAGAAGAGGCAGACTAGTTTAGGAAAGAAGGAATGGCTCTTGAAAAGGCCTGGGGACTGGAGAAAAGATAGTGTTTGGCATTGGAACATGGGACAATACCGAGAAATAGGAAAGCACTAGATCCATGAGAGTGTCAAGTGTGACCAGGGGTGATCAGAGAAAGTCTTCTGTTGGAAAGACCATTCTACTGGCACTGAGGGGGGTGGTAATGGAAAGAGAAAGTGCTCTTAGGGAGAGTAATCTAAGGCACTTAGTGCTTATCACATTTTATACTCCATTCTTTGACTTTGTTATAGACTATTACATCTTTAACAAGATGGAAGTTGATTAAAAGGCCATTTCCCTTGGTGATTTCTGTCTGCCACTTACTAGTCACTGAAATTACCCCAGAGTGGCCTCTGTTTCTAGGAGAGTGACCCCTTCTATCCTAGAGGACTTGGTATCAACTCTGAGTGTGGAAATGCACGGAAGTCTTAGGTCTGTTGTACTGATGGCCTGTTGACTGTCCATCACAAGGAGTGTCAGCACTGCGCGGGGCACCCCAGCCCCTAAGGCTGCCCTTGTATGGCAGAGTGATGTGATAAAACCTTCCATGGTGTGTGGTGTGTCGGGGCTTTAGCTCAGGTGGACTTGATTCTGTTTTTACCATTTCTGAGCAAGTTTTACATAATCTAGAGTTTTCACTCAGGAAATTCTGACAAATGTATGTGTTATATCCATGTAAATATTCCTGAAATACACTAATCTGATCATTTGGTAAAAAAAATAAGTAAGAAGAGGATGGATCTGAACCAGATCAATAAAAGGAGTGGTTGCTAGTAGGGGTGAGAAACAGGAGGATAGAAAATCTAGGTTTTATTTGTTAATTCCAAGACAGGTAACTTGGTGATATTATTGCTGTTAGTGAAAAGTAAATGTTGTCTCTTTGACATACAACATTTAGGAGTGTCAAAGTCATTTTTTTTAAAGAGATGTAGCAAGTTATCAGATCTTTTCTTCTGTCTGGAAGTTCCTTAGAATTTTCTTAATTATCAGCAGTTTACTAACAATCTAGTAGTCTGTTTCCCTAAATTATTATACAATAATACTAGTTTAAAATTATTTCAGTTGAAATCATTTTAGGATGACTCAGAATATTCTGTTCATCTCCATCTTTTCCTGCAGGGGATCCTCTGAGCATATCAACTGAGAACCTCATATTGTAAGATGTTATGTTCACATACATTTAAAAGACTAGTTATTAGAAGAAAGCTGATTGTAAGAAATAGCTATGTATTTTTATTTGGAAATATCAGTTTATGTTATTGGCAGGTTTTATGTTTTTTTTTTTTTCATGTTTGGAAAGTTTGTTTTGAGGTTCATTTAAGTAAATAATTATGTTATGGATCTCCGAATGAGTGAACTAATCAAAATTAAAACTGAGTCAACAGCTGGTACTGATTGAAGTAATTGCCAAGTACTCACTCTGTCCCATGCACTATTAGGCATCCTGTGTGCATCGTCTTAATGTTGTAACAACCCTGTGAGGGTAGGTGTTATCATTACCCTCATTTTATAGGCTCAGAGTGGTTACCATGCCCAAGTTCAATAGCTAGAACCTGGACCCAACCCTAGAGCGTCTAGAGCAACACTAGCTAATAGAAATGTAATGTGACTAATTAAAATTTCTTATAAGTCACATTTTTAAAAGTCAAAACCAGCAGGTGAAATAAATTTTACTGATACATCTAATATACTATATCTAAGATGTTATCAATTCATATATAAAAAATATTGAGATATTTTACATTCTTTTTTGCAGCAGGTGAAATGAATTTTATTAATATATTTAATATATCCAGGATATTATAAATTCAAATATAAAAAATATTGGGATATTTTATAAAGTATCCCAGTATCTTTTATATTCTTTTTTTTTGTACTAAGTCTTTGAAATCTTGTGTGTATTTGACACTTATAGCACATCTCAGAAACCCTGGTGGTGTAGTGGTTAAGAACTACGGCTGCTTCACAAAAGGTCGGCAGTTCGAATCCACCAGGGGGTCCTTGGAAACCTTATGGGGCAGCTCTACTCTCTGCTATAGGGTCACTATGAGTCGGAATCAACTTGATGGCAATGGGATTGGTTTCTTTTTGGTTTACCGTATCTCAGTTCAGATCAGCCATGTTCCACATGCAGCAACCACGTGTGGGCAGAGGAGCTCTAGAATCTGATCTTACCTCCCACATACTCTTCTGTAATCTTCTCTGCCTTTAAACCAAATTAAAATAATGATAAGGTATTTCCATCCAAAAACTTAATCAGTTGTCACTTTGCTTTAAGGTAGCTTATTAAACTGTAATTTTAGTTTAAATTCTTTCCTGATCCTTCGGCAGTGTTGAAGTCATTCTGCTTCTCTAAAGTTTTCACTGAGCAGATGGACAAAATGCAAATTACCCAACAGCTGATTGGAGCCGACTTCACTTTGCTCAAAAATTATATTGTCCTCCTACTGTCTTCCCAGTGTTCCTTTTTCTTTCAATAAAAGAAATGTGATGTTTATATGTTCAGGTTGGGACATAATGAGATTTTTGGGAGGTGGAGTGAGGTTTGCTCCCGAGGAGTACATAGTTTGCACCTTGACCATTTCCTGTACAGTACCAGTTCTTCTGAGAAGTGATGACCTGGAGCATTTGCTTTCTCTCCCAGAACCTCATCTGTTCTGAGTGTGGGGATGAGTTCACTCTGCAGAGCCAGCTGGCCATCCACATGGAGGAGCACCGGCAGGAGCTGGCCGGACGCCGGGCACACACCTGCAAGGCCTGCAAGAAAGAGTTTGAGACGTCTGCCCAGCTCAAGGAGCACATGAAGACACATTACAAAATTAGGTATGCGCCATCACTTGGGCTTGGTAAAAAATCCATACAGCAAATTAGAAGTGGGCATGCTTTGCTACAGTCAATTAAAAATATTTGCTGCTTTCAAAACAAGAACACAGAATGTGGAGCCACAGCGCTATTTCTATTTCTGTTTTCATCAGAAACAGAAAGAATAAATTTTATGATATTGAATACACAAAACTAATATGTGTAAATATGTGTATATACACTTCTGGAACCCTGGTGGCTCAGTGGTTAACTGCTCAGCTGCTGACCGAAAGGTTGGCAGTTCAAACCCACCAGCTGCTCCTTGGGAGAAAGATGTGGCAGTTCATTTCTGTAAAGATTACAGCCTTGCAAACCCTATGGGAGCAGTTCTGCTCTGTCCTATAGGATCTCTGTGAGCCATAATCAACTCGATGGCAACAGGTTTGGTTTATATATACGTATATGTGTGTGCATGTGTTAAATATGTGGGTGTGTATGTCTCTCTCTCTATATATATAATTGATATCTCGTTAAAGCATGTTCTGATGACCATCAGCTAAACATTCTGGTAAATTTTATTTTGAGATTGTAATCTGAGGGAGGCCATTTAATGAGTGTTTCCCCCTATATTAAACTAGGGTCTCAGGTACAAGGTCTTATAACCGGAATATTGACAGAAGCGGATTCACATACTCATGTCCTCATTGTGGAAAGACCTTTCAAAAGCCTAGCCAGTTAACGCGACATATTAGGATACACACAGGTATGAAGAAACAGGTACTTTGGGATGATTGATTATGTGGCTTGAAGGAAAAGAAAATGTGTCTCAGAGCCAGCTAGGCCTGGGCTCTAATCTTGACTTTTCCTTTGTTTTCTGTGTAATCTTTGTGAAATTGCTTAATCTTGCTGTGGTTTCACTTCCTCACTTGAAAATGGGAATGTTAATGTCTGTCATATAGTTGTCATAAATCGTAACTGAAAGAACATATGTAGTGTTTGTAGAAAAGTGCCTGATACATGGTAGGCTATCAGTAATTGAGAGTTGGTATTACTATTGCTGTTATTATTATTGATATAGTATTTATTCAGTCATTTAATTCAGAAATGAGCCAGCCAATGTCAGGTATTAGACTGGGCTAGTTAAGTATAAATTTACAAAGAAAGCACAGGATCCCTGTATTCTATTATAATTTTGCCTTCACTAACTGGGCTATAAAACATTAAAAGTAACAAAAACTTTATTTCTCTGTGCCTTATCTGGCATACTTGTTGGCTTTGCTTGAATTTTTGATGTGGGTACAGCAGTCATGGCTGAACATACTTTCTGTCAGCTCTTGAAAAATCAGTTTATAATATTGTTTTAGTAACGTGATCCTGTTTAGGTAAGGACAAGGGAAAACTATACAAATATTTACAGTATTTGAAATTAGAGTGATCCATGCTTTGCCCTTTTGTTTTCTTATATACTCCTTCAGATTTGGTTTCCCTTTATGGAGTGACAGGGTAAGAAATAGACAGCATTTGGCTGGCTGCTTTTGTTTTTCAGCCAGTTCTCATTAGGCTACACTGCTTTTTGCCTTTTTTAGTGTTTTCGTGAAATATTTCTATGTACAGTACTGCAGAGTCATCCAGACTATTTTGCAGTTTGTTTCTGTGTCAGTGTAAAGTTGATTGGAGTGTCTCCCTTACTGCATGGAGGTAGAGGGCCTGCTTCTCCTGGAGAGACACACTCAGCCCTTGAGAGGGAGCTGGGTGGGGGGTGGTATTCTCAGCTGGCCCCTCCTGGCATGGAGCCTCTGCCTTATGAGCAGGTGGGTGGGTGGAGACCAGAACCAGGTAAATGATTATTTTCTGGGGAGAGGGTCCATCAAGCCCCTCAGATGGCTATTCTGGAAGTCCTGTCCCCGAAAATCATTTTTACTCAAAGACACACACACACAAACACATATTTGTTTTTGTTTTTGTAAAAAAGTTTTTTGTCAGAACAAACATGGATAGATCAAGAGAAAACACAAGGCTTATGGTTTTCTCCCTACAGATATATTTTAAACCTCATCGTCACAAATATATTAGAAATTTGCTTTGACAAGTGTCAATAAAACATAAGTTCTCTTTGTAGCTCTTACTGTCTGTCCAGTCTTAAAGTGATGTTACTTATGTTCTTTGGAGAAAAATTATGATATTTTGGGTAACGTAAGCATTTCTCTTTTGAATCCAGAAGGTACTCCTCATAGTGTGTAGTTGTAATTTGATCCCTTTTCTCCCTCTTCAGGTGAAAGGCCATTTAAATGCAGTGAATGTGGAAAAGCTTTCAACCAGAAGGGGGCGCTGCAGACGCACATGATTAAGCATACAGGTGAAAAGCCCCATGCCTGTGCCTTTTGTCCTGCCGCCTTTTCTCAAAAAGGAAACCTTCAGTCACATGTACAGAGAGTTCACTCCGAGGTAAACATAGTCTTTGTGGCTCATGCAGTATTCCACAGGTGTGCAATAGACGTCTCTTGAGTTAGTGAATGAGCCGGAAAAATGCTTTTCCATTTTTAAAAATGCAGATTAAGGGTTTGTGTTGAACACACCCTGTTTAAAACAAACACACACAGGTTTTTTTTTTGGTTTATTATACATAGAAGAAATAATAAAATAATATATTTTTGTCTTCTTACTGATAATATTATAGTTTTGATGAATAGATATTTGAAAATACCAATACCTTTATTAGTCATGATTCATCAACCTGAATATTGAGATATTTCATCCTTTTAATAAAATTGAAACACTGACACTCTCAAGTGTAGGAAATGAAAGATGAGAAATATAATTGAGTAAAATGTTTTTCCTACGGCTAATGTTGCTAAGCTCACATATGCCTACATATGGCACCATTTATATTGTATATTCAGACTAGTCCTGGTTTGTTAGTTTTCTACCATGCTGAAAGCTAACTATTTAAGCTGATGTTCACAATTTCGTATTGTAATTTTTTATTGTCTATAGATTATACTGATTTGTAGGTTCTCTGGAAATATTTCTGTTAAGCAGGTTAATTTTTGCTCTTACTATTTGTGATTTGGTGTCTTCTATTTGTTTATAGTCTAATTGTAGAAAATACATAGTTAAGCAATACAAATACTTTTATTATGGTACAGTTTATTTTATAACTATCATATGCTTAAAAGCAAATATATACCTTTTAATTTTTTCCATACACTAACACTTGAGTAAAAAGTGAACTCGGGGTTAATAGTACACTTTTATCCAAACCTAACAAAATCAAGAAGTAGAAATTGTCTTGATCTTAGATAAGATTTAGGTTTTATTCTATAACGGGGGGGGAAAAAAAGGACTTTAAAAAGAACAAAAAAAATACTACACAGTTCACAGTTTATAAACGGATTCAGAAGTACATAAGGAATGAGTTACTTTTAAAATCATATTTTATTATCTAAGAAGCCAGAGACATTAGAAAGTATGAGTGAGGTAATGGTAACATGCGGGGACATTACCTTTAGATCTGAAGAGTAAATCTGGGCTGTACGAGTTGCTATTGTGTAAAGAAAACTCCTTGGGAATGAGCATATATTCATGCAGCCCTAGAAATGTCTCCTGGAAACCCTAGAACAGCCTTGTGGGATTAGGGCAGGGGCTCGTCCATGCTCCTGAGTTTAGGAAGCTCATTCTGGGATATCTGTGAACTAACTGTCTGTCATAGCTACGGAGAAACTCAGCTCTAGTGGGACTGACTGAGATGTTTCAGAAAAGATCTGCAGATGCTAGTTTGTAAAGATTATCCAGCCCTGTGAGGAATCTAAAGCCTTATATGTGGTTCTTAGCAAGGTGCTAAAGATAGAGTAGGGGTCTGATTGAGGCTCAGAGTCAATTAGTTTTTCAAACCAGCCTTCACAATTATGCTAATACCTAAAATTGTTCCTGTTTACTGTACTGTTCTCTGTAGTGTGCTTCTGGCTTTTTCATAGTTTTTAACATTCGTTGCTAATAGTGAATATCTGAATTGGTGATGGAACACTTAGAAACTGTATAACATTCCTAACCTGTATATTTTAGCCCCCCAAAAAGCTTATTCGGAGTAATAGTCAAGCCCAGCCATCCACTATTCATTATTGAGCATTGTACTTAACTGTTTAAGAAACTGAGTACATCATACCTCGGTTTTCTTTTTTTTTAAATTAAATGGCAGTAACTGAAAAATATGCCTCTTCATTCCTAAACCTGTTCTAATTTTTAGAAAAGGCTGTGAAATTTTCACTAATCTTATACTGGCAATACTGATTAAAGAACTGGGCCATTCATTCTAGAGCTGTGTGATTTAAAAGTACTGTAACATTGGAGGGTTGGATAGTTCTGTCATTTTCAATGGAATGGCACATTATAATCTGCCATTATGTAATACTTAGATACTCTTATCTAAGAATGAATTGTAAGAAACCTTTTTTTTTTTTTTTTTAAATTCTTTAAGGTCAAGAATGGCCCTACCTATAATTGTACAGAATGTAGTTGTGTATTTAAAAGTTTAGGCAGCTTAAATACACACATCAGCAAGATGCATATGGGTGGGCCCCAGAATTCAGCAAATGCTACAGAGACTGCACATGTTTTAACGGTAAGTCTAATAATTGGTTTATAGTAGGATTTTTTTTTTTAACGAAAATATGTCACTTTTAAAAATTTTGAATATTGTTTGGTACCGTAAAGGTGCTATGAAAGTTTTCTATATGAAGGTAAGGTGCTACTTTTGTGTTTTTTTTTAAAAATTTTAGAACAGTATTAGGTGGTCCTGATTTATGGACTGTCATCGGAACCAGTGAAAATAAGAGAAAATGTAATCATTAATTTATGAGATTGTCACTCATGCTGTCAGTTTTGCTGATGAATATTTTTATTTAAGTTATAAGTTAAGAATTAATTATCACTTTTAGATAATATTTATCCTTTGTGACAGTGATAATTTTTGCTGAGTCTTTCGACTGTTAGGAAGCTAAATTGTACATGTATTTTAAATTATGTAACTAAAAACACACATATGTTTTTATTCCTTTTATGTAGGATTCTATAGCTCAGCCTCAATCTGTCATTTTTTCTACACTCTCAATTGATAATAAATGGAAAAATCTAAGTATAGAATATTGTATCTTAAAAGTATTGACATACGATACAAAAATCTCAGACATCTTAACTGTATGCTGATGAATACTGTTAGCCGGTAGTTTGAGCTTAAGTCTCAACAGCTGCGTCCTACCAATATGGAAAATGGGCCTTGTTAATACTTAATTCTGGAACATTAGGTTCACTTTTAGTTATGTTTTTTTTCTCACAATATTTGCAGTATTGCAATATTTGCAGTATCGCAATATTTCCTCAATTTACTCTTAATCAAGGAGGATGTTGTAAATAAATTCCAGAACTTAGGAATAATTGGAGCCTATTAATTAAGCCTCGAAAATTATATTTTGAACTGAGTATTGTTTCTTTTAATACAATTTTCCATTTGTAAATTATAACCAAATATTAGAGTTTTCACCATTTCTTTTGGCAACATGCAAATCAAATGTGTAGAAGTAGTGAATAATCATCCAGGTCAATGTTTTAATTCCTGTTCTGAGGACCATCATGTGTTAGGTCCATGCTTTTTGTCAAGGCTGCCTGAGAACCTGTGTTCTGCCTCCTGTGTTGAACTTCCATGTCTGTTATTTTGCCTCTCAAATTTTCTTGCTCTTGGCCCTTTTGCTCAACTTTTGAGAAATTTCTCTAGCTTTATTTTATGACTCTTCTATTGATGTTTTTTTTGGTAGTAAGATTTTCATTTCTGAGAGCTCTCCTTTCTGATCTGTTTTTTCACCCCAGGACATTCTTTTCTGGTTTGATGCACACTTGTTCTGAAATCTCCGAGGGTGCTACTTAGAATTTTCTTTCTCAAAGTCCTCTTCGGCTCTTTGGGTCATCCCCACCCCATCATCTTTCAGTGTCTTGTAGCCTTTGGTTGCCTGTTTGTATTTCTGAGGCCACAGTAAACCTGTGTGTGAACCTTGTAGGTGTGGTGGGCTTGTTGACCTGCAGGGGTCACCATAAGTGTGGGGGGCAGGGAACCCCATAGCCTCAGGACCCCTGTGTGGCGGAACACAGATGTTGTATTTCATCTGGTGCCCTGGCTCTCCCCAGGCTGTTTGTTCCTTTCATCCTTTTGTAGAGGCAACCCTTCTTTTTTGGCCTAAGACTAAGTGCCCACGTGTTCTGTGTGGAGGAAGACAGGTTTATTTTCAGTCCTTGGATGTTCCCACTGTCTTTTGGCATTCGCTTTTTTGATCCTTGAGCTTCTGCAGGAATCAGATATTTCAAATTCGATATCCCGTATCCTTTGGATATTCTTGGCTGTTGCCCTACAGAGCGTTTATTCCTCCTTTCTCCTTGTTTTCCAGAATTGGTTGAATTATTTTGACCACAGTGGCCTCTTTCTTATTTTCTTAATTTTGAACCTTAAAAAACCAAAAACCAAACCTGTTGCCATAGAGTCGATTCCAATTCATAGCGACCCTATAGGACAGAGTAGAACTGCCCCATAGGATTTCCAGGGAACGACTGGTGGATTCAAACTGCCAACCTTTTGGTTAGCAGCTGAGCCTGTAACCACTGCACCATAGTTCTTTTATTCCATCACTTCACATTAATGGATTAACAGGGAGGTGGGGACCCGTGTGCTTAACCTGCCATCTTGAATTGGTAGGCTGTGCTACCTGTTAAAAAACTTCGAAGAAACTGTAATAGAACAGTTCTCTCAGTATGTGCTTTTAACAGCCAATATTGTGCCCAGCACAAAAATAGTTGAGGCATTCCATTTAAAATTTATGTTTGGGATGCTGTTAGATTTTAATGTTCATAAGGAGGGTACTACCTTTCTTCTTCTTGTTTTTAAGAAAAATTGAAGTCGAAATAACGTGATTTTTAGTTTTTTTTTTTAATGAAAATATTGCTATGTTTCAGGCCACACTCTTTCAGACCTTACCCCTCCAGCAGACGGAAGCCCAGGTCACATCCTCGACCGGCCAGCAGGCCTCACAGGCTGTCACTGACGTCATCCAGCAACTTCTGGAATTGTCGGAGCCGGGCCCAGGGGACGCCAACCCATCGCCTCAGCCTGGCCAGCAGCTGAGCATCACCGTGGGCATCAACCAGGACATCTTGCAGGTGAATCTCATTTCCCTGCTGGCATGTGACTTCTACTCTTAGGTTCTCGTCTGTGCTTTCAGAAACCTACTATCTGTACTAACAAATACATACACAGGGAGTTTAATCAAAAACATGTCTGAAAAAAAATACATAGTGAAACAAAATACCTTATTTAATTACTTATGGACAGAGCAGAATTCTAAACAATTTATTAATCTGTAAATTAAAAACAAAAATTGTAAAACCCCAATTTTTTTCCCTGCAAATGAATTTAATTGAAAATAATACCTTTTTTAGAACTTTCTTGTGTCTATCCCTGTTGACAGAGACATGAGAAATATTTTATTGTTTCTCGAAGTTCTGGTGTAACTATTTTGAGACAATCATACGTTTTTACAATTCTGAGAAAGAGTCAGTAAGTGAACATTCTATGCAAAATGTGGGTGAAGAGGAGGAGGAAAGGAAGGTCGATGGGTGGGCTGGGTTTATATTCATACACATTTTTCATCTCCAAACAGAGATACAGCCTTCCTCCTTGCTCTCCTTTTGTTGTGATTGGTGTTGTTTTTTTAAGACTAACCTCTCTCCTGTACTTTTGTGATGAGAAGTTGGCCAGAGGTCTAAGGAATGTCAGGATGTCATGACACTACCAATGTCTTAATGGTAGAAACCAAGTTTAATACATGCCCTCAAATAAAAAAAATTTAAAAAAAAACCAAACCCATTGCCATCCAGTCAATTCTGACTCATAGTGACCCTGTTGGGCTGAGTAGAGCTGCCCCCTTAAGAGGTTCCAAGGAGCGGCCGGTGGATTCGAACTGCTGACCTTTAGGTTAGCAGCCTGAGCTGTTAACCACTGCACCACCAGGGCTCCATGCCCTCAAATAGTGATCCCCACATTGTTTAGTGACAACCAAAGTTGTCTGAGGTAAGATTTCTAAAAGTCAAATTAGTTTAATTCCCCTTAAAATAGAAATGTAAATGCTTGCTGTATAGTGTTTTGGGTGGGGTGAGATGTCAGCTATCAAGAGGGATGTTACAGTCCGAAAAAGTCGAAAGCCCCACTTACAAATGATTACTTGGAAATGTATATTTTTACTTCTAGTAGAGTAGAATTAGACTTCTGTAACTAAAGCTTTATTACAACTTTGTGATTGATTTTGGTAGGCAGATGTGGGCCATTGTACCTTCTAACCTTTTAGTTTTGTTCTGTCTCAGCAAGCCTTAGAAAACAGTGGGCTGTCTTCAATTCCAGTTGCAGCTCATCCTAACGACCCCAGCCATACTAAGACATCGACAACCCAGATCCAAAGTCCAGACATTGCCAATGTTTCTGGCGAGCAGGCTGAGCCTACTGATGCAGAGCAAGAGAAAGAACAGGAGAGCCCAGAAAAGCTGGATAAAAAAGAAAAGAAGATTATGAAGAAGAAATCACCTTTTCTACCCGGTAATTTTGATATGCTTTAACATTTAGACTTTTGGTATACACATATTGCTTGTCTTTAAGAAGATGGTACAATATGCTTGTTTTGTAATATTTTGAGAGTAGCTCTCTGTTGTTGTTTGGTATTTAAAATGAAAAGTATGGCAGTCATACAATTTGTTATGCCCCCCTCTCTCTTCCCCAGGATTGGTTTCTGTTCCTGGCTAGTGAGTGGGACTGGAACCCCAGTCTCTCCCGCGGTTTCCCCTTGTTTCCGCACTGCATGTGCAGTTGGTCCATTACCATCCTTCAGCCTTTTGCACCTTGGGCCCTCCTTGCGTCTTGGCCACAGGATGTAGTTATAGCTTCCTAACCGCTCTCTTCCTTTGGGTCTACTGAATGTGCCATACGATCAACTCCAAAGCACAGCTCCGCTGCTGGATTCCCCACTACTTACCAATTCTGTTGGTAAGGGTTTTGAACCCTTCATAAACTAAAAAAAAAGATAAACCTGTTGCTGTTGCGTCGATTCTGACTCATAGCAACCCCAGGTGATAGAGTAGAACTGCTCTGTAGAGTTTTCGTGGCTATAATCTTTTTTTATTTTATTTTATTGTTATACTTTAAGTGAAAGTTTACAATTCAAGTTAGTCTCTCATACAAAAATTTATACATACATTGTTATGTGACTCTAATTGCTCTCCCTATACAGTAACAGCACATTCCTCCTTCCCACTCCTGAGTTCCCGTCTCCATTCAACTAGCTCCTGACCCTCTCTGCCTTCTCATCTCACCTCTGGACAGGTGCTGCCCATTTAGTCTCATGTATCTACTTGAGCTAAGAAGCACACTGTTCATGAGTATCATTTTATGTCTAATAGTCCAGTCTAATCTTTGACTGAAGAGTTGGCCTTGGGAATGGTTTTAGTGCTAGGTTGACAGAGAGTCCGGGGGCCATGCCTTCTGGGGTTCCTCCAGTCTCAGTCAGACCATTAAGTCTGGTCTTTTTACTAGAATTTGAGTTCTGTACCCCACTTTTCTCCTGCTCCATCAGGGACTCTCTGTTGTGTTCCGTGTCAGGGCAGTCATTGGTGGTAGCCAGGTACCATCTAGTTCTTCTGGTCTCAGGCTGATGCAGTCTCTGGTTTATGTGGCCCTTTCTGTCTCCTGGGCTACTGCTTTCCTTTTGACTTTGGTATTCTTCATTCTCCTTTGCTCCAGGTGGGTTGGGACCAATTGATGCATCTTAGATAGCCACTTGCTAGCTTTTAAGACCCCAGATGTCTTGACTGTAATCTTTATAGAAGTAGATTGCCAGGCCTTTCTTCTGTGATACTGCTGGGTGGGTTCGGACTGCCAACCTTTTGGTTAGCAGCTGAGCACTTAACCGTTTTCTCCACTCAGAATGCAAACAGACCCTCTATAACCTATCCCAATCCTGCATTTCATCTTCCCTCCTACTGTTCTTCTGGACATAAACAAATATCCTAGGAAAACTGGATTCCTTGCTGTTTTCTAAACACATCCCATATTCTCTGAGCTTCATGCTTTCCACAGGTTCTTCTGCATTGGGAAGGTCTTCTTTCTAGAAGCCCTTCTCCCTGTTCTCTGTCAGGACTTAGGCCAGCTTAGTGTCACTTTCTCAGAAGCTCTCTGAAACGTTCTCTCCTGCTCTCTGTGCCCTCAGCACTTAGAGCACTTGAAGGCTCCGGCATTCTCTCGTTTTAGCTATGGTACAAGCACGGCCTGATGTCCCCTCTGGGCCACGTACTTCTTCCATCTGGGAGCAACTTTTGTTCACTTCTGTCACCCCACAGTGCCAGGGTGGCTCTGCGCAGGTGCTTACTAACCTTCCTCGAATCATGTAGATTCTGTCATTTGGCAGAAGTGTCTCCCTAAGAATGTTTTCTTGGTGAGTGTGACTGTTCCTTTAGGGACATGGCACCTCTCCCAGGGTTCTTGGGGGATACCTGCTTTTTTCCTGAAAATCTTAGGGTACCATTGTCATACCATTCATGATTTTCTCCTAGGACATGCTTTCTCTCGTGTAATGTGTGGTGTGAAGTCTTGTGTCTCACCCCAAACCATTGTCGTCCTGGTCTCCCCCTCAAGTGAAAACTAGGACTATAAAATAGAAGCAGTGTATCCTCTGGTTTTTCCTGGTATCTAGAGAGGCAAGAAGGAAAAAAGGGCGTTTCTGTATGCTTTTATTAGCTCTGTGATAGCCTTGTATGTTACAGGGTTGCCTCAGCGTTTAAACGTCAACTTTATGCGCGCTAGTAAACGAAGCAAATCCACAGTCTGTGTGGAACCATTAACACTAGTTACTGGGGCTGCCGTCTGTGGTTATTTTGCTGAAACCTTTAAAGAAACTCTCACATGGTGGCAGTCTCCTGAGTGAGGGGCCATGACTGAGGCAGGTGAAATTCATCCTGTATGCCCTCTTCCAGATCTGAAGCTGGTAGAAACAGCCTTTAATTCTACACTGAGCTTCATATAGAGAATTCAAAATGAAATTACGGTTAACTTTATTATACAGTATTTTATTATGGAGCATTTGTGCTAATAAAGAAAACGCATAGGGTCACTATGAGTTGGAATCAACCCAGTGGAAACTGATTTTAATATTCTGTTGTATGTATCTACTGCATTTTGTTTATTGCTAGGAGTGGAATTACTGGATCATATGGCAGTTTTATGTTTAACTTTTTGAGGAACCGCCAAACATTTTTCCACAGTGGCTTTACCATTTTACAATTCCACTGGCAGTGGATGAGAGCTCTAATTTTTCCACATCCTCGCTAACGCCTGTTGTTGTTTGCTTTTTTTCTTTTCCCCATCATAGCCATCTTGGTGGGTGTGAAGTAATATCTTATTGTGGTTTTGATTTGCATTTCCTTAGTGACAAATGATGTTGAGCATCTTTTCATGTACTTATTGATTATTTGTATATCTTCTTTCTTGGAGAAATGTCTATTCAAGTCCTTTGCCCATTGTAACATTGGGTTGTCTGTCTCTTTGTTGTTGTAGGAGTTTTTTTTTCACATATTCTGGATATTGAAACCTAGTGAGATAAATGGTTACCAAATATTTTCTCCCATTCTGTAGGTTGTCTTTTCACTTTGTTTTCTTGATAACGCCCTTTGATGCAGAAAACTTTTTAATTTTGAGGAAGTCTTATTTATCTATTTTTTTCCTTTATTGGTATCCTGTTTAAGAATCCATTATCAAAAACAAGGTCCTGAAGTTTTATTGCCATGTTTTCTTCTAAGAGTTTTATGGTTTTAGCTCTTATATTTAGGTTGTTGAACGAATTGAGTTAATTTCCATATATGGTATGAGGTATGGGTCCAGTTTCCTTCTCTTGCATGTGGAGAACCAGTTGTCCCAGCACCACTTATTGAAAATCTCATTTTTTAAAAAAGTGTTATCTTGATTATTTTACATATCTGTTTTTTCGTGTGAACTTTAGAATCTTCTGCTAGTTGGTATTTGTATATAAATGATAAGCTAAACCAGGGAGAACTGATGTCTTTATTACTTTTCATCTTTGTACCAAAGACTAGGATATGCATTTCCATTTATTCCAGTCTTTTTTTCTTTCTTTTTTTTGGGAAGGGCATTTTAGTAGCGTTTTAAAATTTTCTTCTGGGTGTTGTTTATAGATAGGAAGGGTGTTGATTTTTAAATATTAAAACTCAACATCTTTCTAAGTTCTCTTAGGTTCTTGAGTTATATAATCATATTATTTGTAAATAATGATGATGTTACCTTTTCCTTCCTAGCTTATGCTGTATTTCTTCATTTGTCTAGTTTCACTGACTGTTACAGTGGATTTCCACCCCCTCTGGCTTTACTAGGGTTGCTTTTAGTGTTTTCCTATGAAGTTGAGTGTTGTGTTGAGATGTATTTATCCACCCCGTCCCTGTTTTTAGACTTTTCTTTTAAAGTTAAGAGCAGATGTTAAATTTTAGCAAATGCCTTTACATCTTGTAGATGATTATATGTATTTTTCTTTTTTAATTTATTAATGTTTGAAGAGGAAAGCTATTGCCCACCTCGAGGGCGGGCTGCCACATGGACATGTAGTCCAGGTTTTCCAGATCTGTACATGTGCATGTTTGCACGGGTGTGTGCCACGTGTGTGCATGTGCGTGCGTGTGTGCACACGTATGCACAAATCGACAAAGATCTTTCAGTTTGTCAAGAAGCTGGAATCTGGATCCAGTTTTCTTTTTGTAGCACTGTGTGGGCCAAACAAGACGTATGCGGGCTAGCTTTAGGGACAGCAGTGCCAGGGCTGCCATTTGTCATCTTTATTCCGGTCTGTTACCAGAAATGATTAGAACCAGCTGACTGTTTTATATTATGTCATCCTTTGTAATTAAAGACATATTTTTGTTTTTGTTTGGAAAAAATCTGATTTCAGGGCATGGCTTCCTGTTTTTAACTAAGTAGATATTCTAGTTCTCTCTGACCTTTTTATACTTTGTTGATTTGTCTGAGAAGACATTCAGGTAATCATTGCACATTTCTGAATAATTTTGTGTATTAGTTTTAAGCAGTCTTAAATTTTAGTCTTCTTTAATACAAGTAGCATCACCAAATAAAGGCTTTTCTGTCACTTTTTAAAGCATTTTCCCTTGTTTCCGACCCCCTCCCCTCTCCCCCCACCATTTCTCTGGTTAATGTATGTCCCTCTCTTTGTCCTTGTTTCCAGTCTGTGACCATTTTAAAAAAATGTTATTCTTCATTTTTTACCTAACCTCCTATCCTATGTGATTACTCTTACAAAGAGCATTAGATTAGGGAAAATACATTTCTCCCCCAGTAGGTTCACTTGCGTATGTGGAGAAGTCCCTGTATTTACTGATGACAAAGAGAAGGAAACCAGATATTTTGTTTTTCCAGAACAAAACTATGTCTGTATAGACACAGTTAAATTACAGACCTAAAATTTTCAGGTGAAATTCATCAACATGGCCAAAATCTTTTTGATGTCATCTGGATTCTTTACCTGAATTATCTAAATCTATTTAATGTTAGATGAATAAGTCTAATAAAAAATGTTAAAGATAAAAACTGATTCTGCTGATGTTTTGTTATTTTGAATTTTATATTTTAGGAACCATTTTAGTTAATTTTTCCATAAATGTAATTGTGATTTTTCTTCTGATAAGGAATAGTTCTAAACCTGATTCAAAGTGGAATAAAAATAATATTTAGAGTTAGAAGACTGTTTTATATTTGGTCATGAACTCATTCGAATCTTGCATAATACTTTTGTCTCAACAAATGAAATTTCCTTTTTATAGCTTAAGAACTTACCATTTTCAAATTATTTATGTTAGCTTCATTTTTTTATTTGTGTCTTGAGATAGACCCAAACGATACTTTTATTCAAACAACCTTCCTTCTCTTGGCGTTCCTTGAGTTAACCATGGAGTCATTTGCTACATCTGCTTTTACTCATGTTGGAATGAACTGGCTTTGCAATGCTACACTCCTGATCCACATAATACTGCCTATCCAGTTAACTCTCCTATCTCTCCCAGGCTGTGATTTGTGTTCTCAAGGCTGGTTAGGAGTTTCTGCAAGATTAAATCGTAATCTTTGATAATTCCAGTGATGAAATACCCACCAGCTTTTCCATAATTGGCCACCTTCTGTGTGACAAAGAGTGTACAGCCTTGTATAGGTATGGCATGCTGTCTCAGTCCTCCCGTGGAGGGCGTTGAAGTGCCTTAGTATTTATTTAACATAACACAGTATCTAGGCCAGACTGGACTGTGCCTGTTTTAATTTTTACCTTATTCTTTTATGTAGATTTTATTTATTCTATCTTCGTTCTGACCTTTACTCCAGGTTCTATTCGTGAGGAGAACGGAGTAAGGTGGCATGTGTGCCCCTACTGCACAAAGGAGTTTAAGAAGCCCAGCGACCTGGTGCGCCACATTCGCATCCACACCCACGAGAAGCCCTTCAAGTGCCCGCAGTGTTTCCGGGCCTTTGCCGTGAAGAGCACGCTGACTGCCCACATCAAGACGCACACGGGCATCAAGGCCTTCCAGTGCCAGTACTGCATGAAGAGCTTCTCCACCTCAGGAAGCCTCAAAGTGCACATCCGCTTGCACACAGGTGGGGGCGCCTACCCTGGCGAGCTGCAGTGCCACCTGCTGGCTGACACAGTCAAGTTCTTCTTTAGCACATACGTACTTATTGACTCCCTTCTATAGCCTGGGCACTGCCTGTTCACTGGCAGAGAAGACAGACCCCATCTCGAGCCTCACGCAGCCCATGGTGTAGAGCGGCACTGAACATGTAGCACCTACAAATGAACATACATACAACCACACCTTGGGATTTGTGAAGAGAAAGAGTCGGGTTAGGAGAGAACACTGTGGTCAGAATGGATTTAGATTCAGATTGGGTGAGCTGTTCTGAGGATAGGACATGGACTCTACCATCTGAAGAGACCCGTGGCTTTTCCTGGAGAGGAAAGGAGACCGGCCCCTCAGAGGAGGCCCGGTTTGTGCTGAGGCACAGCGACATTACTATATTCCTTTAAAGAAAAGTGTTTATGCGTATTGGATGGGGTTTTCTCTGAACCATGTGCAGTGAGTATTTGAAAAAGCTGGAATTAGTCAACTTTGTTACATATCCTTCTTTGTACTCTGCCTTTTCATTTACCAATTAAAATTATAAAAGAACGAAATTTCTTTCAGAGAAGAGGCGCGGTAGTGGAGGATTTTTAAGTGAATATCATCATCATCATCGTTTACAATAACAGCTACCATTTATGCATTGTTTGCTAAGTGCTAGACTCTGGCTAAGTGCTGTTGAAACGTTACTGTTTTTGTGTGCCATCGAGTAGATTCTGACACACAGCAACACTATAGGGCAGAGTAGAACTGCCCCATAGGGTTTCCAAGGCTGTATTCTTTACACAAGCAGATCACCAGGTCTTTCTCCTACGGAGTTACTGGGTGGGTTCAAACTGCTGACCTTTTGGTTAGCAGCCAAGCACTTAACCTTTGCCCTGCCAGGTTTTCTTATTTAAACATTTGCTCCTGTAATTCTAGCAACAGCTGAGGAGGCAAACATTATTATTCTCAGTTTATAGAATACTTGAGACAGAGAGCAGTCTTCCATGCCTTAGAATTCTAAAGATGCCTAGTTGTTTGAACATCTGTATTTTACAATTTAAAATCTTTGTCCTGGAAATAGTAAATTTTTTTTTCACTTAAAATGCTTTTATTGCTGATCTTAACATATGCAAGATGCACTGTAAGCGAACGAGGGAAAATGACTCTAATTTATAACATCCATGAAATCATAAGCATGGTATGATAAATGAAATATTCAAATCTATATTAAAATATTAGAATTTTATGTTGGCATTAATTTTTGAGATTTAATTCCTTGAAATGGAGCCCTTGAAATAATCTAAAGTGTACTTTTTATTTTCCATTAGGCGTTAGACCTTTTGCTTGTCCTCACTGTGACAAAAAGTTCCGAACCTCAGGCCACAGAAAGACACACATTGCCTCTCACTTCAAGCATACCGAGCTCAGGAAGATGAGGCACCAACGCAAACCCGCAAAGGTTCGAGTGGGCAAGGCCAGCACTCTGGTGCCTGATATTCCTCTGCAGGAACCAATTCTCATCACCGACTTAGGTAAGGCGGGGGGTGGGGGCATGAAAGGCTTTGCTTACAGTTTATCAAGTGTTCCTTCACTTAGTGTCTTATGAAGGATGTATAAACATTATGATCTATGTAGTTAGGCAGGTTTAGGCGCAGTATTAATGAAGTCATTGTTACGTATTATTTTCCTTTATGGGCCAGTGTGTCCCACAGTTAAAACCAAAAACATAGCTGTATCTAAACGAGTGTTCAAATTGTGTCCTTGGTTAAGAGAGTAATGGTGTGTAAGTGAAGATATTAGTATGTAAATCCTTGTTGGAAAAAATTTCTGCCTCAGTGGTACTCTCAAAGATGACATGTGAAGTGCACAGCTTGCTTTGTTATTTTCGCTTAAAACCCCCATGCAATATGTAATAGACTATTATTTGGCCTCCTTTAATCTTTGGATTAAAAAAAGAAGAAGAAAAACCTGCTTGCTAAAAAATTCTTTTTAGGCTTAGTGTTATTATAATCAAGCCAAATTATGATTTTGTTAACTAACTAGGAAAAAGTTAATGCTTACTAGAATCTTTAGAAAAATTTTCTTAAGTACAAATTACAGGAAGAACATAATATAAGAAACTTCATTAAATTCTGTAAGTGAATTTATGTTTTTATGCAATTTATTTATTTCATCATTTTCCTAAGCAAGATAATCCAACCTATGAACAGAGCAGAATGAGTATCAAACAAAATACAGATTAATGTAAAAAAGTTAAATTGTATAAACAAGGCTATTTTTGATTGATATATTATAGTCCACTAATAAAAGTCAACAGTCATGAAAGTTTCTGTACCTAATAGCATAGCTTCAAAATATATAAGCCAAAAACAATACAAGAAAGGAGAAATATGTACTCTCTCAAGTACAGTGAGAGATTCTTAATTCAAGTTCACCAGACACAGTAAACCTGCCAAGGATTTGAAGTATACATGCATAAATACATATATAAAGGGTGATTTAATAGCTTTATCAGGATTCTTTTACCCTAAAATATACATTATTTCAAATATGCATGAAACAGAAATTGATACATGCTAGAGTATAAAAAATTTCAATAAATTTGAAAAAGTAGATATCATCGAGGAGACAGTCTTTGATTACAGTTTAATGAAAATAAGTTAATAGAAAATATCTATCCAAAATTTATTTATATGGAAAAGAAAGACTCAAAACTGAAATTATATACTATAAGTGAGAGTATTACATAAACAGATCAGATGGACAAAAGCTGTCCTCAGCTCCTATAATATTTCTTACTAAAAAATAAGAGATTTATTATCATATAATAAATAAAATATAAAATATTTATATAACTCAGAAGCTAGAAAAATGAAAATAAAGTAGCAGACAGAAATTAATAAGTGTAAAATAATTTAAAATAGAAGACAAAATTCTAGTGGACTTGATAAATAATTTTTAAAAAGCTGTTTTTGAATGACTGATAAAATAGACAACTTGGCATATCACTAATAAAACTAAAGAACAAGAAAACATTTGTAATATTGGGAATGAGAAAAAAGGCTATAAGCACAGAAACAAATGAGGTACAAATTATTTGAGAATACTCTATAACCTTATGTTGATACATTTGAAAATTTAGATCAAATAAATCTTTTCTACAATTATGTAATTACCAGAATTGACTGTAGAAGAAATGGAAAACCCCAAAACACAAGAAATTGAAAAGATAGTGAAAGATCCATATCTCCCCAAGAAAATACCAGTTTCAGATGATTTTATGCATGAGTTCTACTAAACTTCCTAGAAGTTATAATTCTGCTGGTATTTAACAGTTTTAGGGCATAGTAAATGGTCAAGAACTCCCAGGGTAGGTCAGAATACTTTGATATCTTTGTTCAGTTTTGGTAGCCCATAAAACAAAACAGCAGAGTAGTCTCACTCATACATGTTTAATCTGCACCATAGCCTATAGCTTCTCAGTGTGTTTGCATTATTCCAGAAATGCATAAAAATTTCTAAAAGTCAGAGTCAGGTTAAAAACCTATTTAGTGGTGCTAGAAATATTCTTCATGCTTAAGAGTTATCCTCAGATTACCGATTTTTGTCATGTCACCATAAGTCAAGTTAAAAACATACGGGTTTCTTGGCTTTGTTAAGTTTATATATCTTTAGTTAAACCAGAGTTCTGATTCTCCAGAATTTTTCCAGGGTTAAAATGGGATATGCTGTGCTCATTGGCTTCACAGATGTCTGCACATTAGATAAATATAGTGGCAATGGATCATCCTCTGGGCTGAGCTGAGACACAGGAGGCAGCGCCTCATGAGTAAAACAGGGGAGTCAGCAGGAGGACAAGGTTTTAGAGGAAAGGACTGAGATGTAACCTGGTCTTTTAGGGAAAGGCAGGAAAAACAGTGTCTGTTAAGAGGTACCTAGTGATCATGGTTGTAGAGAAGTTAATGGTGCAGCTGAGGAGGGAGAGAAGGTGAGGCTGTGGACCATCTTGGCTAAGGGCTAATGTTCCTGGTGGGAAGAGGACCACCACGGGGAACAGCCCAAGACTGATGTGGTGCTGATGGCAGACAGCTCCCTCTTAAAGTTCCAGGGCACTATTGAGTAATCCAGACATTTTGCACCTAAGTTTGTCCTGAGATGCATAAATAGTCCAGTGATCAAGTCATATTTATTAGATGTTCAGCTGAAAATAATTCTTCATTTAAAGTATGTAAAACAAAAAAAATAAAAAATAATACATGGGAGAAATGTGCTCTTAGTTCAGTCAGATATACGAAAGCAAATGGGCAGCTCCTGTTCAAAAGCAGGATGAGAAGGCAGGAAGGAACAGGAACTGTTTGAATGGACACAGGAAACCCGGGGTGGAAAGGGGTAGTGTGCTGTCACATTGTGGGGATTGCAACTAATGTCACAAAACAATACGTGTATAAACTCATGGATGTGAAATTAACTTGAGCTGTAAACTTTCATCTAAAGCACAATTAAAAAACAAAAAGGGAGGGGCAGTATTGCTCAGGATAACAGCAAAAATAAATAGATAAAGTATGTGAAACCTGAATTATATAAGCTAGTAATCTTGCTATTTGCAGCTATCCCTTTAATAAAATGTCTATGAAAGCATTGACGTTTTTAGAACAGAGGTCATGTTACAATTATTTCTGCTTGGAGTGCATTATAGTACCTAGTGTACTGTGATAAATCCTATAATAAATCATGTTTGCCTAAATTTTGGACATAGTTATGTCAGCTCCATGTTAACAAATGCCCATGTAGAAAGTAAGTGTTGAAATCCTTTTAAAACTTTACTGTTAGAATCAAGAGGAGCAATTGTAACAATATAGATATTCCTTATGTTGAAAAAATACCTAAGTTACAATAATTTTATAAATATTTTCTGGTAGGTTCTTTTTAAACAGTCATTTCCTAACACAATTAAACTAGCATTTAGTTGCAACATTGGCATCTATACTTTTAGCTCTTTAGAATTTTTCGTCTACTGGGTAAAGCAGACACCTTTTGAAATTTCAGTTTTTAAGTAGCATTGACAGTGAATAATTCCTGCTTTTCTTTTGATTTATAGGTCTTATCCAGCCCATTCCAAGAAACCAGTTTTTTCAAAGTTATTTTAATAATAATTTTGTAAATGAAGCAGATAGACCATACAAGTGTTTTTACTGTCATCGAGCATATAAAAAATCTTGCCACCTTAAACAGCACATCAGGTAAGGTGACAGACTTACAGGTAGGATTCAGTGTCATTTCAGTGATTTAGTGGTCTAGCAACTTCTGGAAGTGTACAGGATTGTAGTGTTAGCTTTTGTTGTGTAAAGTGTCTCATTTGACCCCCCAAAATTTATTGATCATTGATGTTTTCATTCCCTAGTGCCTTGTCTAAAATATTTTACCAGGAAATTGCCACTAATTTTTTTTTTTTTTAACACCCCCTACTATATCTCAGAATTTGCAATTTCCAGGAAATATCAAAGAGCTGTTTGGTTTATTTCATTAGAATTATGTTCTTAACAGTTTTTAAAGTGTTTTCATCACAGTTTAGGTTAATTCCTAGTGCTGTAGCAACAGCGGGAAGAAATTAGAAACTTGATCGTGGGTAAGACAATATGATGTCCTGAACCAAGTGTAGAACTTAGAAGACTTAGGTTCTGATTTTGTCTCATTTATATGCTGTGTGACTTTAAGCAAATCTTAATTCTTCTGGTCCCAGTCTTCTCATTTGTAAGACGTGGAAAGCTGTGTCTTTGCTGTTTAGCTTAAAAAAATGGGACGATCAAGTGAAATAATAAATGAGAGTGCATTCTAAATTATAAGCACTATGAAATTGTAAGGAAGCATTGTTCATTCAGTAAACTTTGTATTCCTTTTAGATCACATACAGGTGAAAAGCCTTTTAAATGCTCTCAGTGTGGAAGAGGCTTTGTGTCTGCTGGTGTGCTGAAGGCACACATCCGCACACACACGGGACTAAAGTCGTTCAAGTGTCTAATATGCAATGGTGCATTCACCACTGGTGGCAGCCTCCGCCGGCACATGGGCATCCACAACAACCTCCGGCCCTATATGTGCCCCTACTGCCAGAAAACATTCAAGACCTCCCTCAACTGCAAAAAGCACATGAAAACCCATAGGTAGGTACAGTGCTGATTGTTGCTTTTATATTATTATAATTCCCAAATGAGGGTGGGTATGTTTTTAAAAAATAATTATCTTTGCACCCTATATGTTATTTCTAGCTTAGGGGGTGCATGGGCTAAATAAATTTTTGTATTAGTGTCCAATGATCGGGTGCCCTGGTGGCTCAGTGATTAAGCGTTTGGCTGCTAGCCAAAAGGTCAACAGTTCAAACCCACCAACTGCTCTGCAGGAGAAAGATGTGGCAGTCTTCTTCCATAAAGATTACAGCCTTGAAAAGCCTGTGGGGAAGTTGTGCTCTGTCCTACAGGGTCCCTATGAATTGGATTCAACTCAACAGCAATGGTTTACGGGTTTAAGGGTCTATTGAGAGCCTCGGACCAAAACATTAGCATTTTTATTCTTAATATAATATTGAATAATCTATCTTGGGCTAAATGTTTTGCAAGCTCTCTTTTAAAGCTGATAGTGATTAGATGAAGTGCTAAATCCAGTATGTTTAGTATAATTAGGTAATGAAGATTTCAAGAGGAAGTCTTAGTCAACTCTGTGATTTTGAGGCGTGTCATTTTGGTACCCGAATAGTAATTATTCTGTGTTGTTGTTTACAGAGAACATATGTTTCAGGCATTGTATAACTCCGTGACTAAAATCTAAGTTCTGTTTTTACTTATTGGGGGTGGTCTCATCTCCAAATGGAGGTGAGCACAGAGCTCAGCATAAATGTGTTTCCCACTATATCTGGAATCCATGAATGGAGTTCTTTACTTGCGCTGTCAAAAAGCGTCGATGAGGGGACTCTAAAAAGGGTGACCATGCATCCCAAGGAGGACATTTAATCTTCTGCCCTGGAGCCTTTATTGGGCAGTATTTACCCAGATGTGTCTGCCAGGATGTTGCCTACAAAACAAAACTCCACATATTGGAATAAGCAAATAAATATATATATTTAGTATTATTTATCTGGATGCCTAGGCCCACTTGACAAACTTAACAGCTTTTATTTTGGTGCAGTTGGCTACTTAGCTGGCAAGTTTAACTGCTTCTTGAGCCCATCCAGGGACTATGGTGTCAGTGGAGCAGTATAGTGTACTCTTGCCAGTTACATATTCAGCTGCACTTTACTGCATTTTATGGAGGGAGTTACGTGCTGTGCATGTGATTGGGAACTGAGGAGTCATGAGTATGTAAATATTAAGGATGCTAGCTAGTGTTCCTGTCCACTGTGGTGGGATGACATGTCCGCATCCATCTGAGAGCTGCACATGCTAAAGTTATAGGACTTGGGTCCTGAACCTTGTGCAGTGGCATTTTGAATCATATTTTCTCTGTTAGGAAGCTAGTCCTTTTCAGCTTGCTTTTTATAGTAGTGTTGGGAGTAAAGGCTTTAAGACCCTTACTTATGGATCTGTCGGCCAATGGTGTAATTACTGGGAAAGTGAGTTAGCTGTTTGCACGGGGCCGACTGTGCTAAGTGGAAGTATTGTATTACCTTGTGGTTGTCAGAGATTACACTGAGGAACATGTGCCTTCCATTATTTTAGGAGTTTACTGTATGACTTTGAGGTGTTGATCTGGAGATTGGTACGTCTGTGATATTGCAGAGATAGGATATTTCTCTTTTTATAATCTGCATGCAAGGAGAGGAGTAGACCCAATAGTCCATCCCTTTGTTGGAAGTGTTGGGAGTTCCCAAACTACTATATACATTTATCTCAAAAATAGGTGTGGAAGGTTACTACAGTAAAGTCCATTCATTAAAACAAAGAAGGAACAACAATAAACAACAGAGCACAAGACACCACTGGTTACCATGCACGGTGCATTTCCTCCTATCTTGATGGAATAGTGGAGAAGACAGACATATAAACATGATTGAGTTACTGTATGTTGTTGTTGTTGTTGTTGTTATTAGGGGCCGTCAAGTCGGTTCCAACTCACAGCGACCCTATAGGACAGTAGAACTGCCCCATAGGGTTTCCAAGGAGCAGCTGCTGGATTTAAACTGCCGACCTTTAGGTTAGCAGCTGAGCTCTTAACCGCTATGCCACCGGGGCTCCTAGAGTTACTGTGTAGTAATGGTTATAATAAAGGTGTAATGTACAGTGAAACCTGTAAGAGCCAGAACTTAACAGGATTGCATTGTTTTTCCATGTCTCGCAAGTTTTCTGCCTTTGACATGGTCCGGTCTTACCACATTTCTGCCTTTCCTTTTAGTGGAAAATATTTACGTTTTCCTTCTTTGACAGGTTTCTGCCTTATACAGGTTCTGGCTTTTGCAAGTTTTACTGTACACCGACTCCCTACTAATCGACTATCTTGTTATCTGACATTTTGCATTTACGACAATAGTACAAATTCTACTCTCTGACTATTTTGCATGTTAACGATGTACATCTGGCAGTAACAAATGCTGAGGTGTGAGGTGAGAGTAACACTGGCTGTGATGGTTAAGGTTATGTGTCAGCTTGGCTGGGCCATGATTCTCAGTGGTTTGGCAGTTATGTAATAATGTAGTCATCCTCCATTTTGTGATCCGATGTGGTCATCCTCCATTTTCGCATAACACAGATTTTTCACATAATGACTTGGTCTTTGGAACCTAACCATGTACATAAGTGAGGAGTGGGTGTATTTTCTAATTCTTTGCTATTTTGTGTGACATTTTTATTCTCTCTTTGTCAATAGAAGTAGTTGAGAATGGACTATTTTTTGATATAAGAAAATGAAAAGGAAAGATTTTGTTTGGAACTAAGAAAGAAATTCTGAGTAGAATAGAACATAAGATGGAGCTTGTGTGAATCTGACCGTGGAGACCTGTATCTCAGGTCATCGATTGTCTTAGATAGTACATGCGTTACCCAGCCGGTTAGTCAGATAATTGCTGGAGGTGTTTTTTAAAGTTCTTTGTTTCATTCACTGCATTTATTGTTCATTTTTCTCTCTGAAAGAGATATGATTGGCCTTGATGAATATATACTGGATTTGTTTTGTATAATGTCATGATTTTTCAGGAAATCAGAACAGCCCTATGCCTTGTACTGTATGTTTGTAACACGATTGACCACTGGCCACGTACAATGTCTGTGGCCCTTGACCGAGAGATAGCGGACTATGAGACTGTGCCTCCCCTGCACCCTATCCACTTAAGCTTATCCCACGTAAACCCACCTGCAAATGCGCTGCCTTACGTCATACATTTCTTTTTCTTAATACCTTAGCTCCTTGCAGAATTTGAGTTGGGAGAGTTTTATTTTTAAACGTGTGGCATTTTTCTTACTTTTAAAACTTTTGAAGATCCTGGTGTGCGTTGTCCTTCACCCTCTCTGCTTTCATGCCCCTGTAGCTGGGAGAGCCCTGGAAGGCGAGGAGGCTTGAGAGCATTTAGTTTTCAAAGGTATTGCCACTGTGGCTCTGATATGAAGTGGTTTAAGGACAAACAAGTTATTTAACAAAAAGCGACGTTCACAGCAGGATGGTGTTCGGGTAGCTGTGGGCAGTATCTAGATCTCATGAATCCTCATTGGTTTTAAAGGTATGAACTTGCTCAGCAGCTCCAGCAGCACCAGCAGGCCTCCTCCATCGATGACAGCACTGTAGACCAGCAAGGCATCCACGTGTCCACCCAGATGCAGGTGGAGATCGAGAGCAATGCGCTACCACAGACGGCCGAGGCGGTCGCCACAAATCCCGAAGCCATCCTGGAACTGGAGCCGCAGCACGTCGTGGGCACGGAAGAGGCCGCGCTTAGCCAGCCGCTGGCAGACCAGCCTTTGGAAGCAGACGAAGGTAAACATGTCAGGATCTTTCAATTTGAGAAGCATTGCATGCAAAATCATGCAGCCCTTCTCACTCCCTCCAACCCATATTGGTGTCTCTCATCTCTGACTTTTTAAGTCACCATTTGTGCTATGCATGGATGTGTGTGGGAGTGTGTGCATGTGTGTGTAATACCGCATGCTATATATTGTCCCATATTACTCTTTAGAATTTTTACTCTTCAATGTTATTTGTTTTTTGAGGGCAAGGTTTTTTTTTGGAAACACAAAGTAATCTAACTTCTTGGTAGGAAAATTTGAATGTATTTGAAAACTTAGGACTACAGTAAATACTACTTCCCATACTTTGCTGTAGGTTCTTTTACTTTTTCCTTTGCAAGTGTACAGGCAGGGGTCTGTGTGTGAGTGTGTGTATGTTATATGTATAGAATCATAGAGACAGGATCTTTCTATCCATACTGTTTTGTAACCTGCTTTTGCCCTCTTATATATAGAGAATAGTCTTCCTTTTCAGCAAATACATGTCTTTATGGTCATTCTGTTACGGTTGGTGCAGGTCTGTCAGCTGTCGGTCACCACTGTGCAGAAGGATTAGGCTCCTGGTCCTGAATGTAAAGCAGTGCATTGCTTCCTTCATCATAAAGTCTTGCTATGAAGAAAGTGCCAGCTGAGCTGTCTCTCAGTGTGCTTGGTGGCACCAGTGGTTTGCATCCACACAGATGTGGTCTTGTTCAGGCCTGCTGACGGGCCTTCTGGTCTTGTGCAGGCCTGCTGACGGGCCTTCTGGTCTTGTGCAGGCCTGCTGACGGG